ACAAAAAAACTAACTACCGGGAGACTAAATCCTGTGGATCTGTGATTTTTGTATGTATGCAGTAGTTTGTTTACTGCTCAATAGCTTGCCCAGCTGTGAAACTGTACTTGTTTTCCACTGTTTAAATGTGTGTTAAGGACTCATTTCTGTACTGTCCCATTGCTGAATACTGTAAAACACAAACTGGAACAATGTATAAATCTGTATATCTTTTTTTTTAAAAAAAAGTTATCTTAAATTGTGGTCTTTGGTGTTCAAATCCTCCTTAAGGGATCCAAGATTTAACTCCATTGTTTGATTGTGGCATGGACGATGGTGTGGTGAGAAGGAAATATTTTGCGATGCAAACTCCCCTTGTTTTTGTTGTGTTGTTATTTGTTTTAGTCATCTGCTAGAATTCTGCACCCTTGCTTGACATTGTTAGCAAATCCAGTGTTCCACAAATCGTGTATCGCAGATGAAATATTGAACGTTGAAGACTAGTCCTCCTTCGGCACAGTTCAAAGCCATGCAGATCAGTAGTCTTGATGGCTTCGACCTTTTCAATGTTGTATAAAGCTTATATCAGAAATGAAATATTGAGTGTTGTAGATTCACTCCTTATTTTCTGCTTGACTTAGCGCTAGTCATCCTCATGCACTTTTTCCAACTCTACTTATGATTGCATGGCGCTATTTGAAAAAAGAAGGGAGTTTCTCCTGGTGTCAATCTGTTGGTCAACAATCAATCCCCCAAATAAAATTGGCCAATTACTTCATGGCTGTTTGTGGGACTCTGCTGTGCGCAAATAGGCTGTTGAGTTTGCTCACAGCTACACAATACCAACACTTTACTGTGAATGATCCTGAGAAGCGTTTTGAGACATCCACCCGACATGAAAGGATCTGCATCAAATTTAAGGACCATTACTCCCCCAATACACCCTCCACTGCCAAATTCATGAGATGTCTCTGCGTGTTAGCTGCTTATTCTGGTTGCATACTCCACATTGCCACCTATCGCACAGAAAAAGGAAAAAAAAATCATATGATGTTAAGTCTCTGTGTGATATATAAAAATGTTCATTTAAGTCTCGGAATTGTGCTGCAGTGACCTGTTTCTCAAGTAATGAATAAACATATTTCATGTTGTTTTTTCATTCCACTTCTTAAATTTCACATCACTTCTCATCACAGGCACTTTTTCTTAATTTTTAAATAAAAAAAACTTACTTTGTCCATTGATGTATGTGTTTTTGCCTCATTAGGTATTGAGAGAACAGCAAAACAATTTTCTCTTGGACTTTTGCACTGTAACTGGCTGCTCAGAACTGTGTGAGAGTGTTCACTGAGGTTTCCTTCTCTCAGTGCAACCACTGTTCTTACCCTCTCCTGTCCCTGTTATAATCTAGAGCTCACAAAGTGATAAAAGGGGTTTGTAAATTTCTACTCCAGTGTGCAGTCTGTTATTACATCAACACATTTTGCCATGTGTTACCTGTATTTCACACGCTCAACATGCCTCTCAAATAATTTCACAACCCAAATCTGCAAAGTTACTTCATTGAGGATCAGTGATTAAATCAAGCACATTTTATTTAAAAAAAGATAAACACTCCTCAAAGATATTTGCTGCTATTTAATTCAACCTGCGGGGGTGCATTTCATGAAGTCTGTTTTGCCATGGGCAATCCCATTAATAAAAATTAAATTAGAGGGAAACAAGAGTCAAATTACATCCCTTAGGTTGTCAATTATACATATTGTGAAATAAAGAGTAGATTAAAAATAGTTGACTTTTATAAAAATGTAACAAGATTACGAACCATTGTGGACTTATTAAAATATTCATATTTATTAAATTACATGTTTAGAATATTTATTTACATTCTACCCTCAACTGCTTGAAATTTGGGCAAAGGAAAATGGCTCAAATCTCTTGTATTTACAAAATGCTTCCTCACTGATGGCAGAGGCCGTGAAGTGGTCAGTTGAATGACCCTCTCAGCCAGGACAATCCAAAACTATAAAGAATATTATAAAGAATTTTTGAAAGTGAACAGCTTGATTGCTTCCAACACCAAAATCCAAATCAGCAATGGACTTTGATGAGTCCCAGAACCTCATTCTTTCCAGTATGTACTTAATCTGGTACATGAAGTTCAGATAAATTAATTGGCCTCAATAAATTTAGGAATCGGTTTCCAATCACCGATCTTATGACTCCCTCTTGCCCATTGATTTACCCCAAACCATAATTTAAGTATCATTGGCACCATAAAGCTTCTTGCATGATAATAAATAACTATCCTTGCATTTGATATAGTGCCTTTCACATTGGGAGAAAGGTCTCAAAGGGCTTCTAAAACATTTGTAGGCAAACGTGACAGCCGATTTGCAAACAGCAATATCCCACACACAGCCATGAAGTGAGTAACCAATAATGTGTCAGCTACCGTATTTTGAAGGAGTCAATTCATTCAAAATTATTAATATCTGGGAAATAATACAATCATTAAGAATTATTGCACTTTGTTGTACAATGTTGCCAATATCTGTTTGTAATAACAATAATAATCCTTGTAATTGAAATGTCTCAAAGCGCTTTGCAGATTATAGTATATAGTGGAATGACTGTATATTTTGTGGGCGAAACAAGTGTGTAGGCAAACTATAACCATTGGCATTCATTTTAACGGACAAACTACCTATGTTAGACTACCACGCAAATCCCACTTACAAATCAGACAAATTATCCGTTGATTTGGAGATTACAACAATGAGCAACTGAGCCATATAGACCAGGTTGTTTCAAAGTTTTACCCGGACTATGATTTTAATTAATCTCAGCTGGGAGTGGTACCAGGGAACTAATTGGCCTTGAGGCTCCAGGTTAGGGAGAGGAAAACAAGCTTGGGTTACGATCCAGTTGGAGATGATCTGGTGTGGGTCCTGGGCGAGGACAGGAATGGGCCTGTGAAACCCCACACTGTGAAGAATGGGCACCTGCCACTGGGTACGGTCAGGTGGGTGACCTCTAGCCTGCAGAACCACAACCCAATCGAGAAGGAACTAAGAAGAACAGGAGGGAAGGAAGAGAGAGAGAGAGAGAAAAGAAAAGAAATCAAATTGGCAAGGGAGAGTGAGAAAAAAATCTGCCCTTTTTTTTACAATGAAGCATTCTCTCTGAAGACCAAAACTGTCAAACTGTAATGAATGCGATTGCTCCAGATGCAATTTGCATATTGTTATTTTGCAACTGGTGTGAATTGCTCTCTGCCACTGTTTTTTTCCTGGGTGTGTGTGTGGGGGGGGGGGGGGGGGAGAGAAGAGAGAGAGAGAGAAATGTCATTAGTGCAAGAGGTTCAAGGTTGTGCACTGCTCGCTCACTCACTGCGTCTTTTCTCATCTAGCAATTCTTATGGTATAGTTTGGGGACATGACACGTGCAAGCGACTGCCAGGAATGGCGGAAGGCAAACTGGATGGACCTCGATCTTATTTGTCAGCCCAGCAATTCTTCTGTTCTTCTTACGTGCGGTAGTTTGGGGCATGTTTTGCCCCCAAAATAGACAGTCCGTTCACTTCACAGCCTATTCTGCGAAGCGCTTTGAGACGCCTCGAGGGGATCTGCAATCTTCGGGAACCAGGCGCCGTATCGAACGCGAGGATGGCGATCGTGGTGATGACACGGGCGCGCGACCGCGAGGACGGCGGAAGGCGAAGTGGATGGACCTTAAGTTTGCTTCGCTCCAGCAGTTGGTGTGTTCTTGTGCTGCTTCTGCTCCTAGGTGGCGCTTTGATTGCAGAGAAAGAGAGAGAAAGAGAGAAAGCAAAGCGGTCTGGGCTGGGAAGTGAGGGAGGGAGGGAGTGAATGAATGCACAGTTGGCTGTGGAAGGAGGCAGGCTGCAGCCAGCTCTTGCTCCCCGTCTGTGAGTGACACAAACCCGGGCGAAGGCAGAGGGTTTCCACTGAACTGAACTGAACTGAGCTGAACCGTTCCAGCATCAGCTAAAGATTTCACTGGAGCCTGGAGCCAAGGAGCAGAGAGAGAGAGATCTATGGGCAAGTCAGTCATTTACCTCCCTCCCTCCTAACCAAACTTTTTGCAGGGATCATTTCAATATATATATATATATATATATATAATATTTATTGTTATATATTCATTTCTACATCCCAGGAATTTTTGGAGAAACCACGAATGCTTTGGATTGCTGCAGAACGAAACTGGATGGAGTGTCTTTTTTGAAGAGGTGCTTTAAAAATGTGACTAAAGTATTTTTTTTATATATATATTATAAATGCAGGAAAAGAGAGGGACTCAGGAAAAAAAAGGAGTCGGCTTCTTTTTTAATAGTATATCATTGAGGAAATAAGTGAAGACTGAACAGTGACATCCCCCCCCCCCCCAAAAAAAAAAATCATACACAGCCTCTCTCACCCTCTCTCTCTCTCTCCCCCAACACAAACTGCGATGAAGATTGGATGTGAGTGAGTTGGATGTGATGGGAAGTTTGGAAGAAGTTTGGTCCAAGGAGTTGAACAACTGCTGAACGAACACTTCAGTATCATTTGGGGGGTAATATATTTTTTTTGGAGGGAGGGAGCAAAGCAAAATACAAGCTCTAATATATATATATATACATATAATATATATATATATAAACGTCGCAACTTCAAAGAGTTCAGTTCTTTCCCATCTCTTGAGTTTCGACTGATTTATGCATTACACCCCCTTTACCTCCTAGGTTTTTTTTTGATGCATGCAGAGATCTATCCTATCTCTTTTATTTTTGCCCCAAGTGGAGGGGTGGGGGGGGGGGGGGGGGGGGGGTTTAGCTATTTAGAAGCTTTCCTGTCGACTCCGAGAGAATCACCACCTCCACACAAATACAGTCGGACCCTCCACTTGGATTGCAAACTCTTTTTGAGATCAAAGCAAAAGGGGTAGAGACATGTATCCCTGCCTTTGAAGACAAGAAGAAGAAGAAGAAGAAGAAGAAGAAGAAGAAGAAGAAGAAGAGGAGGAGGAGGAGGCGAGAGCAGAACTGGTGGAAGAAGGATCTATCTATCTATCTATTTACCTGACAGAGAGAGAGAAGGAGAAGGAGAGGGGGAAAAGGATGTTAAACTGCAGTTTGACAATGTTGAGGAATCCGAGGCTGGAAGGTTGGCTGCTGGTGGCGTCTCTGTTACTTCTTCACATCTCTTGGACACGAGCACAAGGTAAGGGAGACTGATGCTGCAATCCTGAGACAGACAGACAGAGAGAGACAGAGACAGAGAGAAAGGAGACAGACAGACAGACAGAGAGGGAGAGAGACAGAGAGGGAGAGAGACAGAGAGGGAGAGAGACAGAGAGAAAGGGAGACAGGCAGACAGAGAGAGGCAGAGAGAAAGGGAGACAGACAGACAGACAGAGAGAGGCAGAGAGAAAGGGAGACAGACAGACAGAGAGGGAGAGACTGACTGACAGAGAGAAAGACAGACAGAGAGGGAGAGAGACAGACAGAGAGGGAGAGAGACAGAGAGAAAGACAGAAAGACACAGACAGAGAGGGAGAGAGACAGAGAGAAAGGGAGACAGACAGACAAACAGAGAGAGAGAGAGACAGAGAGCAGGGTGGTGAGAGGCACCATCACACAGATGTGCGATGTGTGCAGTGTTAAGATTAGGTTCTTTAAGGATTTGTTTTAACGGGAAGGCTTTTGGGGGTTGTGTGTGGTGTGTGTGTGTGTGTGTGTGTGCGGTTGGGGAGAGTGGAAGAAGAGAGGACATTGAGTGCAATGTGAGAAGGAACCTGGTGTTGGGAATCAGATGCCCATCTCCAGGGCGTTTGTGCAAACGAGTTTTTGCTGATACATTTTGAGCAGAGAATGCAACAGAGAGAGAGAGAGAGAGAGAGAGAGAAAGAAAGAGGACAGAAGCGAAGATAAGAATCTGGTCAGAGGAAGGATAATCTGTGATCTCTGCGAGAGGATTTTTTTTTTTTTGGGGGGGGGGTGGGGGTGGGAATAAAGGACCAGATCGCTGTGTAATTGCAACGTGAAGGATATGAGACCAATGGGGAAAAGAGTGTGTTCATCAGTGCTCTGTTCATCAAAACTTCACACCAAAGAGTCAGTTAAGAGATGAAAAGAGTCGAGGATGAAAGTGGTTGTAGGGGAGAGAGAGAGAGAGAGAGGAGAGAGAGGGGCTGAGAGATGGGTATCTATTGCATTTTTGGTGAGAAGCCACAGCTGAATGCAACAGTCCTGCAAAGTTATGGATGTCCATAACGAGTGGGAGAAAGTTCCTCATCGAGCCCTGGGGGTGGGGGGTTAGTTCTACCCTGGAAAAGTTGCAAAAAAAAAGGGATGGGAGGAAAGAAAGAATGAGTGAGTGTGCGAATGAATGAATGAATGAATGAATGAATGAGAGAAAAGCAACGACCAGAGTTGCATTGCGTGCAAAGGTGACAGTTTGCACTCAGTCTCTTTTTGTGTGTGTGTGTGTGTGTGTTGTGTGTGCGTTGATGTCGTATCGATCTCTCTCACATCTCTGAAAGCATAACGACTGCGATTAGAAAGAAGATCAATTCATTTATTGCGACCGTCAGCAAACACACCAGTCACTTTCTCCCTCTTGTCTTCTCCCACTTATTTGCAAGTGGAAAATGCACAGCAATTCTTTGTGTGTGTGTGTGTGTGTGCATTGATCTCTTTTATTGTCATTTCTTTTATATAAAATATACAAGAAGGAAACCCTCTAAGAATGCATCCCCAGTGCATTATCCTTCACTGTCTTATTATTATTATTATTATTATTATTATTATTGTGATCTCTTTTGGGATGGTTCCCTTGAAACCCACCAGGAGAGATCTTGTCTATCTGAGTGGTTGTTGGTTGGGGGTTGGGGGGGGGTGGGTAGTGTGTGTTGTGTGAAACTGACATGAAATTGGCTCAACAGCATTCAGCTTCAGTATTGAATTCCAGGACAATTCAGCTCTGTGGCAAGACTTAAAATTGCGATGGGATCACTCCTAAAACTGGGACCAACCCCTTCCCATTCCCCAACCCCAGAAGGGACGTTTGTCGTGGATATATTTGGAGGAAAAAACAGATACAGTGCTGGGAGCTTGAGTGTGTGCCTCCAAACAGAGCAATATTGCTGGCATCTGTCCCTATCATCCATTGTGTAATTTATTCGAGCCGGACATTCATTGTGGGCAGGAGATTTGATCATTGATGGTCATCAAACACACACACATACATACACCAATTGCTTCTGTTGAACAGGACATCCAGTTATCCAACAAGAAGGGTGACCCGGTTGAAGGAATGACCCATTCACAATTGTAAGCCGTTTATGTTCCAAGGTTTGGGGTTTTCGAGTTGTGGTGCATTTGTAAAGATCAATTGGATGTTTGTTACAAAGTAAAACGCGGAGGGATGAGTCAATGGTCAATGAAATGGTCAACTTGTGCAAACCTGGGTGGGTGACTTCGACTCGCCCGTTCATTCTCAGAACAAATGGTGCTTCTTGTTTGGAGCTAAAGAGATCTCATTCAATGATAAATCTTGTTGAACGGTTCTGGTTCCCACCCTTCCAATTTCTCGCCTCCATCCCTGACCCAACTGACTCACTCTGCGATTGCATAGACACAGGACATAGTGACCACTCTTAATGGGCGAGCCTTGATATTGCAGGATGTCTGACTGTGGGTGGCATCCAGGCCAAAACTGACCCCTGATTTAATTCAACTGACCACATTTTCATTGGGTAGGACACCATGACTGTGTTTTCTTTCCTCCTTCCCTTGCCCCCCAAAGGCACTGAGATGCACTGAGCCAGTCTAACTCTTATCCCAGCTAAAATCAGCTCACTCGGGTTAGATTGGAGACTGAACCTGGCAACTTCTGTGTCTGTCAATGATCCATCATTTAAATTCCAATCTGCTCTTGTGTTTTCCACACTCCCCCCCCCACCCCAATCCTCTGTTTCTGAGTACCTTAAACAGGGCCACTGTTCGGTGTATTGGAGATGTCAGTGCGCTGTGATGCAATGACATAATCGCTTGAATCCTGTCTGCTGATAAAATGAGAGATAATAAAGTTCTATCAACTTTAGCCGAAAGCTGCGATTAGATTTCTTGCAAAAATCACATTGCAGTCAGTGGCGAAAGCTGCCTCTGATCTAATGTGTTGCATTGCAAACTTTCTCAGCAGCCAAAGAGCAATTCCTTACAAATTTACAGAACAAGTTTATCAATCCACCATCCCCAAAAACATCAACAATGCCGCAACAGTATGCTGTAGAATTTAAAAAGATGTCTGAGATTGTGTTACAAGGCTGAAACATAATTGAAGGTTGCAATTGCACCAACAAGACCATACATAAGTTTATCAGAACCTTGCATTGTCTCGCAGACATCAATCCACTTTCACACACCTTTCATTTTAGGAATTACATGCCTAATTTTTTTTACAATAGCTGTGATTTTTTTACTCTACAAGTCTTCTGGCTTGCCTTTGAAGTTCACTTTCATGGTACCAGTCAGTGTTTAGATGTGCTTCAATGCATATGTAGTAATACTGTACTTAGTCTACTGGCAGGATGAAATTTACAATATTGCTGACAAAAAAAGCCTTCTGATCTCACTGACAAATGGCCACAGGAGCAGATTTTACTGGAAAGTAATGGTACTTGTTTTTTAACTGGGATCATTTGTCTTGGGTATACTGTGTCTACCAGTAGATTTGGCTACTTCTCATTCTATGGCTGTCTGAGATGTATGATTACTGATAAATAATGTAATCTATTAAAAAGCACTTTATTTCTGTGCTTGCCTTCGCACAAAAAATTGTCCTATGTTGTGTGTGTGTGGGGGGGAGGATGATTGAACCATTAAAAAGAGATTTGCTAATGAACAACAATCACGTGAGATTAGGAACACATAGTCAATACAAATAAATCTGGAGCTTCAGAAATCAGATACTCCAGTTTACAGAAGTAGTCTTCAGAAAATGGAAAGACTAAATTACACAGGTTATGATTAGATTACAATGGATGTTGTTGTTTTTCCCGTTAGTATTTCCTGAAAGTGATATTTCTGTGCTCTGGTTGCTTTGTATGTGGCAGATGATGCTTTCATAATTTAGCCTGGCTGACACTGGATCTCATTGTTCTCCTGTATGGCCTATGTCACACATCTATTGAATTTTTATCAGTTGATAATGTGCTGTCCTATCGCACACACTGGCCTCAGGTCAATGAACTAATGATGTTTTTTATTCTACAAGCCAAGGGACAGAAAACACTGTAGCACCTCATTCATTATTGTCCCAAATAACAAACACACAGGGGTGAAGGATAGATATATTTGAGGGGTGTTTGGTGTTGCTTTTTTTATGTGGTTGAGAGGAAAATCTCTATTCCAACTATTTGGGATGATTATTAATCGATCTTAAATGTGCCCAGCATTTTTTGGGAGGTCCGCTGGGTGTCTGACATGTGCGGAAACCCATCACCGTGTTTTAGAGTATCCAAACCAAACTGAGAAAGCCATGCATCCCATCTACACTTAAAAATTCTAGAGACAGTTTGTTGGAATGGAATGAGCACTCCCTTCCTGTGATAAAATCTGTTTCACTTCGCAAAGTGGTACTTTTACAATCAGGCAAGTCCCCTCTCTCTCTCTTGGTCTCTTGTCTGGCATTTCAACCTAGAGACCTGCTGTTTCTTCTTCTCTCTCTCTCTCTCTTCCCCCTTTCCGCGACCCCCCACCAAACCCCCAGAAGGTGGAGTGGGGGAGAGAGAGAGGGAGACAAAGGAAAGAAATGTAAAAATGCTTAAATCTTCAGTTTAAGCGTTTTTACGTCTACCAACACTTAGCGAAAGACCTTTGAACTTTGCGAATCATTGATTCAAGTTTTGGGGAAACTTCAAAGAACTTATTCAATTTGAAGTGTGAACGAGCTTGCCTACTGACTTGGAAACTATGTTAGGGCCTCAACTAATTCTTTCTCGAGTCGGTACTGTTTTGAAAATGATGTTTTTCCAGTCGTAATGGAATTGATAGCCAATAGCTCTTGACTGCTGTGGGGGGAGGGTGTAGGGAGGTTATTATATCTCACATCGGCTTGACTGCTTTTCGATTTTTACAATGTTGTCGCAGGAGGAATGCAACACACAAAATGGAACTGTGATGCTGCAAAGTAATTGATATTCTGTCCATGTCAATGCA